TTATTGACCTCAAGAAAATTTACACTTTTTCCTAAAACCCAGGGACATTCCCCTTTATTATATTATCAAAAAATGTTCTAATACATTTAATTCTACTTCACTTTTTTGAATGCTTTTTATATATCAAGCATTGCGATGGCCAAAGAGGCAGAGTCATTTACAAGGCACAGTTCCTGTTCAAGGTTCCCTTAGCCATGAATAGGGAAGAGGCAATTTCAATAAGATGGTTTGTTATACAGGATCAATTAGGAATCCTCATGAAAGGTCTCAAATTCATGTTGGATTCATGTTGCCTTGTCTCCGAGAAGTTGCTTTTGGAGGAATGAAGGGTGATTTTACAAGTTACCACATTCCTCATTTGCTTCACTCATTTATATAACTCACCTGGACCCGGAAGCAATTGTGTGTGCTAGAGGAACTACAAAATTAAATGGCTCTAATATATTAGTCTGACTGAAGTTGGAAATATCTGGATTGGAGGCAGATGCATTATTTAGGATACTCCTTTGTTAATGTAGACATGTAATGAGGTTGTGGTGGGAGACCTAGAAAATGAGTTAGCATTTCTATGATGGCATAATGACCTAGGTGATCTAAAATGAGACAGACAGAAGAGTAAAGGATGACATTTGAATTACCAGATTAATTTACTTGAAAATTATTATCTCCATTTAGGATCTTCAAGAAACAGACAGCAAGAAAGAATTAGACCTGCAGGAAAATTTTTGGTGGAAATGCTTAGGAAGGATTGGGACAGGGAATAAGGGAAGACATAGGGAGCTTTCTGATTGAAAGTTACATCTCAAACCTAGGTATCGTAAGGAGAGACCAATGGAGGGAGGACTGGATAGAAAGCTCAGACTGCAGTGGACCACTGAGAAAAACCTCAGCCAGGATGATTGGAACATGGGATCCAAGACTGCTTACTACAGGATTGTGTCACTTGAGAGAAAATGCCAGGCTTTGGTGCTCCCACTGTGCTGCCTGTACTGATATAAACGATGCTGGGGGATTTGAAACTACAACAGCTTGAGGTTGTCAGCTAATTGCTCTCCTTGTATTAAGTTCTCTCTTGAAAGCAGAGCCGAAGAGTACACACCCACAGTGAACACAGGTATCCATTACTAGAAGTGTTGGATTCCAGTAATGAGAGGATATAATTAAAAATGGTTGTCTGTATGGAATAAGAAATGGGTGGAGTTAGCAAGATTGATGGTTCATATATATAAATATATATGAATAGATTGTATATATGAAAGTATACTTATATGTTGTGTGTGTATCTGCATACACAGAAAGTTAAAAAATGTTTATTTTTATTTTTAAAATTTTTTATTTTTTAATAGGAGATAGAGAGAATATTGATTTGCTGTCCCACTTATGCATTTATTGATTGTTTCTTGCACATGCCTTGACTGGAGATTGAACCTACAGCCTTGGCATATCAGGACAATGTTCTAGTGAACTGAGCTACCCAGCCAAGGTTGATGGTTTCTTAGTAAACTTTTAGACCTATTTGCCTCTTACCTATTACTTATATAAGTAAAAATGACTTGTGGCAGAGGTTGCTAGATAGATTCCAAAAACTTCCTCTTCTATTTAGGCATACTACTTCTCCCACATTCTTTTGCAGTTAAGTATAGCAATATGATTGATTTCTGGTCATTACAAGGAGAGAAGTGATATGTGCCACTCATAAGCAAGGCTCATAAAATCTGCAAGACAATCCTTCCTTCAATTTTACTGGCTGAGAGAAAGATCTTAAGGCCTTATATTCTCCACAAGATGGACAGAGTGTGGGATCTGAATCACTGCAAACAAGGCCACCTGGCAACTTCTTTGGGTTATTTTGTGTGTAAAATTATGTTTTTTTTTATTTTAAGCTGATGACACTTCATATTTAACTGTTACTTCTGCTAGCATTAACTTAAGAAAGGCCCAAGATAAAGATATATATAAAACAAACAAAGATATGTACATCTTTACATAGTGTCAGAAACACCTTGTACCTTTGAATTTCACCTTAGATTTTTTTTCTTTAGCTTCCAACATACACCCTCAATACCTATTAACTGATGAAGGTTTGGCTAAAACAATTAATTTAGCAAGTTCATGTGTTAAATTTACTTCTTCTTATTGCTACTCCTGTTAATGGTGACATGGACACCAGTCTGCAGTGTCCGAGGTGCTATGGATGAGACGAGATACATTCACAGGGACTACTAAGTCCTGTGGAGGAAAAGGGACAGCACGGCTACTCTCTCAAGGGGAGAGTTCCCCGACCCTTGCCTTGACGGGTCATTACAAGGCAATGGTTTATTGGGTTTGTTTTGCACAGGAATACAGGTAAAGCTCATTAATCATTATCAGGCAATAAGAATCAAACATACAAAAAACTCTGAGGGCCTATTTTGAGTCAGGGTCAGATAGCTAAAGAGCCATAAAACTTTGAGAAACAAACTCACTTCTCACTTGGACCCTTATCATTTAATTGAGAGCATTCTAAACACAGCAGGTTTCACAGGGTTCTACATATTCTTTCTTAGGTCTGATTGCCCTAGGGAACCTGCCCTTTCCAGCAGAGGGCGGCACCCACCACCACAATTGTTTCAGGCTTAAGGCATTGTTTCACACTTAAGGCATTGTTTCAGGCTTAAGTCAGGCAGGAGAAGTAAGGAAGCCAAGAGATTAGGACACTTCTCACAGACAGAATAAGGATTTAGGCTATGTCAAAGCCAAGGGGTAAGGGTCCATCACCCCCTTTTGCTATAGCCCCCCAAGTCTTTCCCTGGGGCCTCCACATGATCATGCCTGTCTTAGGTCATTCTCTCCTTGGGGAATCTTACCCATCATTGGCTAACTGATCAAGCATTGGGGTCCAGTCAGGGTGAAGTAAAAGGAGCAGAAGCTGCACCCCTGCCAGGGAGATAAGCTTTGTCTCCTTAGTGGCTTCTGGTCCAAAGTTCGCTCACTCAGCCTTAGCCATGGGGGGGTTACAGCTTCTGAAACCAGGCAGGGCAGTTCCTCACAAATGGTGCCATTGTTGTTTCCATGGACACCTAGAACCAGTATTTTATGGTGCTCTTTGATTCCTGCCTTTTAAACAATTCTCATATCAAATTGGTAAGTTCTATTAATTTTCCTTTCTTCATGTATCTGTGTATCCATTCATTTTTTACATATTATTACTACCACTCTGGAGCAAAGATTTTTAACTTTTTTTTATCTCATGGCACACATAAACTAATTATAAAAATTCTGCAGCATACACACAAAAGTATTTTTTGCCAGTCTGACAAAAAACAAGTATAACTTTGATTCATTCAAACTGGATAGGTATTGTTGGCTGTTGTCATTTTTTAATTTGACGATGTAAAGGAAGAGAAGTTAGTACCCCTGACTAAATAGTCAGGTATTAAATGTTTTAAAAATTGTTGTGGCACACCAGTTGAAAATTGCTGCCCTAGGATAAGTGCATAGTTTAGTGCCTACAATGCCACAATAGATTTCTAATATCATTTGCTCTGCTTATCCCATAGCTTCTGTCCAAATCACTTTGGCAAATTGCCACTGGCACTGTCCCCAGAGCATTTAAAGGAATTACAGTAGCAATTATATTGTGGAAAGAACAGGGAATAAGAAGATTCCCGTTTGAAATAACTGTTATTGTATTTACTTGGGTGACCTTGGGAAGAATTCCAAGACTTGATTCTATTATCTATTAAAAGGGGTTCTATCTATTCACAGGATCACTGCAAAGATTTAGTGAGGTAACTTGTAAAGGTTGATAGCAAAACACTTGCTTCATCATGATGCTTAATGTATATTTACTAAATGAATAAATATATCCTTATTTGTCTATTTCCTTTCACTTAGCTAACCTGCTTATAAGTTATTCTTTCCTTTACTCAACATTTTCAAATGCCGTTTCTCCTTCCAGGCAAGTTCAAATCTGATCTGTTTAGTGATCTCTCCCTATCTACTTTTACCTCTGTGGAAATCTTGATCACTTATGTTATCTAGCATTATATTGTGAGTGACCTTTTTTGGTTTTCATGTACAATGATTTTCTTTAGATGGGCTGCAAATGACTAGTGATGTATCTTATACAAAGTATCAGGTGTTTCCTAGAGTGATTTTTGCAATTGTGTTTGTTTTTAATTTTTATGTGCTTTATTTGGCTTGTCCAGAATTCCTTCCTTCTTTTTTTCATAAATGATATTCTGACTTTCTCTTCAACATAACCCACTCTGAAGCCTCTAATCCTTGTGTAGATCGATGACCCCACATACTAACACCCACTATACCCAAATGCAAGCACAGGATTAAGGACTTGCTTGTCTGAGTAATTCATTCTGCTGCCCCAAATAATTCATAAAAGGCTTGTGAGCCAAGTAAAGCCCCAGAATTTATGTTGGAACAACTGAGGAACAATACATATCTCATAGGCATTACAACATAGAATTATATAAATTATAGTGATGTTTTAAAATATATAGTTTGCAAATTAACCTAGTTAGGAGGAAAATAAGGTCAAGTGATGAAGACAAAGAATAAGAGATTTACTTCCTCCTTAATCCATCTGTGCCTGATCTCTTAGCTAGAAAATTTATCTCCAGACTTTCATTCACATGGACTAAACATTTACTTTTCCCTTGTTAATTTATATGACTTTGTCACTTGTAATCCAAAGAGAAATGTCTAATACAGTTGTGTTCTTTACCCATGCAGATAATATTTACTGATTATTTTTTTCTAGCTTACTCATAATGAGGTTTAAACAACAGAAATTTGGATTGCATAACATGGATCGCTTCTCACTAATGGAGAAAAAAAGAAATAAGCACATTCTTCATGACTTACATAAATTTCATTATTTTGCTGTTTAAATAAGCACAGATTTCAATAATGTTTTAAAAAGCATCAAAGAACACTTCTATATTCCAATCTGTAAAAATATTTTCATTATGTTTATTATAAAAATATAAATGTTTCCACTACAAATTATTTTACATTAGTAAGAGGCCATCTACATTGTACAACATAAACTAAATGAGTAGTTTTGAAAGTACAAGTTTAAAGTAAATACATATTGCCAATCATATCACATTTATACATGGTTTCACTGATACTTAGTACAGAATGATCTTGGCAAGGTGCCAGAAATAAATAATATATGTAAATCAAATTTAAGATATGGAACAGATAATATGGTACATACCATTGTGTGGAGATGTGGTTTCATGTTTATTGAAAGTCAATGCAGTTCCTGTACAAAGAGATGGCCATGAGCATCTAGTACCTCTACTCCACAGTTCAGAATCGTACACTGTTATGTTTACATATGTACAGAGTAAGAATTATGTAAATAAAGTAAATTTATAGGAGGTCAGGTAGAAAAATAGTGAAAAAATGAAGGGCAATATACTGTGTATATAACCTCGTCTTTCAAATGGAAATCACAGCTAAAATAAGTGAAGTAGATTCAACAATCCTCAACTTCAATTAATTCATGAAATGCACAGATTTTTTTGAGTCTGCTCAGAACAGTACCTACAAAAGTAAATGCCAGTCTGGGATAAAATGAAAGTGAAGCCAGAATCAGATCTCAATCTAACATTCTGCAACACAAAATATTTGATTAAAAATGGTTTTAGCTGCTTCTAGCAGGGTTAAGCAATTTTGTAATTAATTTCATAATGACATAGGTCTTTTTAAAAAATTCATGCTCTTATATATTCAATATAGAATTCTAGTTGGATAATTTGACTGTAAGAATTATTGCCAATTTTATGAAATAATCCTGTATATGAAGAAACACAACCTAAGCCTTATTACTCTAAATTTACAACAGATTAGCACTTGTGAATTTGATCTGATTGTAATCTGTAAAATGTTCCATTTTTTATTAGAAGCATAAAGGTTGCAGCATTGTTTTAGCCATTCTATTCTTATGACATATGCATTTCTTATTCCCTTAATATGATCATATCAGCATTAGAAAAAATACAGAGCTAAAATGTTGCTTCACAATATATTAGTGGCTAGATCTACACCAGGTACAGCTTTATAAATATTACTGAGTATGCTCATATTTCACCTTTATGTAATAGTCTAAGGTCCCACAGTGAGAGATCTCTCTACTGCTTATAGATTTTGAATCTTTTGCTAGATAACCATTTTATTTACCTCAAAAATAAAACTATTTTGAAAATTATATGCTCAATAAATGCAAAGAAATTTTAATGCCTCTAATTTATACACCAAAATTACAACAGGTGCATTTCAGTGGAAGACTCTTCAAGATAACAATACCTGCTATAGATGATCACAATGTGTAATTAGCATAACTAAACCTCAGTTATTCAAATGAGTAGTTTAGTTATAATCATTCCCTAAAAATAGCTCAGCAATTTGAAGCATAGATATTGAGTGATCTTTTTTTACTCATGCAATAGCCAATAGGCTGTATTGCCAATTAATACAACAATCAAAATAAGATTTCAATTATTTCCATTGTAGCTATTCTCTATTTCAGAGCTCTAACATAGCTTCTTTACCAACGAATGGAGTTAATGGTTTTGTAAACTCCAGAGGAGGGCAGGTATGCCATTGACGATCCATTACTTACAAGCCAGCATATTAAATTAAAAGCATACGTTTATAATAAATGGAGAGACAAAAACATATGACATAATTCAGACTGTGAGAGATTTGGTTAGTGGATGAAGAGAAAAAGGATTTGGTTTCTTTTTTTCTAGATAGATAGATAGATAGATAGATAGATAGATGATAGATAGATGATAGACAGATAGATATAGATACATATAAGTGGATGTTTCAAAAATCCGGAAAGAAACCCATCATTCTCTGTGTTTAGTTCAACATGTTTCCTACTGCTGACAGTTTGAGGAGTATTTGGCACTTGGTTGTTAGCAAATCCAAATTAAATCATTGAGGCATAAATAGAAAACAATAAAAACAATTCAAAAGAAAATAAATATGTATTTTTCTTCAAAATTAAGACATTTTTACATGATAATTCTTAATGAAGCTAACAATTAAAAATATGTAGTACTTAAAAAAACTACAAACTTTATTTCTATATGCTTTAAACAGGTAAAAGATAATAATACAATGAAAAGCTAGTAAATATGGCCAGATAGTTTGAGGTATAAATTCCTCTGTTTTGCTTGCTTTTAAAGAAAAAAAAATACCTGTTACAGATTTCTTATGTGTATAAAAATATCACAAGTCTTTTCTTTTGTGGCTATCAGCAAACAGAGCCACTATGTCATTTTGTTATTTCACTTGTTTCTCTTTTATCATAGTCAGTATATGATCAATGGCTCTATGCTAGTTCTTCATCATTTCGTGCTGAAGAATTTTAATTTATTCCATCAACTAATATAAAAAAATCAATTGCAAAACAAAATACACCCACCCACCAATTCACTAGGTGATATGGGAAAATAAAGAGTTTTTCAATTCCATTTTAAGGCATTTGTACTCATATATGAGTGTCTTATTGGGCTTGAAACTTCCACCAGTATCTCCAGCATTATCATCTGTCTGCAGAGTGATGCTACATCTTCCACAGCCATTATTTTCTTTGAGAAATAGCCCTTTACACTGGAACTGGACCATTCTTTGACTGTGTTTCCAGAGCTTTAATGCTACTGATGATCTTCTTCTGTGGCCCAACCACAGTGACGCCAACCTTTTTCATGTCACTGTAAAAAAAGGAGAAAATGTTCAGTGAGAATCTTGGTTTCCTGGATCATATATAAGCATGAGATTTTCAATGAGCAAAACTTGTACAATTATATATCCAGTATTTCTGACCTATTTATTTATATGCTTTATTTTTGCATCATCTATATATAATATCCTAGCTAGTTTACCGCTATTCTTGTGGAAGAGCATAAGTGGTATACAGTAGGTTGAAGTATAGGAGGATATCCCCTTAAAATTTCTGTCTACCCAGAACACCATAGGGTCTTTGCATATTTAATTAAGACAAGGATCAAGGCCTAACTGGTGTGGCTCAGCTGGTTGGACATTGTCCCACAAAGCAAAAGGCTGCTGTTTTGATTCATGGGCAGGATGCAAGCCTGGGCTATAGACTGGTCCTGGTTGGGGTGTGTGAGAGAAGCAACCAATTGATATTTCTCTCACACATCGATGTTTTTCTCCCTCTTTCTCTTTCCTCCCCTTCCCCACTGTCTAAGGATAAGTAAATACATTTTTTTTTTAAAGACAAGGATCAGCCCTGGCTGGCATAGCTCAGTGGATTGAGCGCGGGCTGCGACCCAAAGTGTTGCAGGTTCGATTCCCAGTCAGGGTACATGCCTGGGTTGCAGGCCATGACCCTCAGCAACCGCACATTGATGTTTCTCTCTCTCTCTCTTTCTTCCTCCCTTCCCTCTCTAAAAATAAATAAATAAAATCTTAAAAAAAAAAGACAAGGATCAAGATGAGATCCTGCTGGATTAGTGTGGACTCTAAATGAGACTGTCCTTATTAGAGCCTGAAAAAGACACACAGTGACAAATAGACGAGATCCATTCATAGATGAAAGCAGAGATTAGAGTTATGTTGCCACAACCAAGGAATGCCAGGATACACCAGAAGCTGGAAGAAGTAAGAAGAGATTTACCCTTAAAGACTTGGAGCCTTGATAACACCTTAATTTCTGGCTTTTGGACTCTATAAATGTGAGAAAACAAATTCTGCTTGTTTAAGCCAACGAATTTGTGGGAATTTGTTGTGACAATCTCTGGGAAACTAATACAGATGGTCAAACATTCTCTGTGGGGCATTATTCTGTTCCCTGGAACCTGGACCAGCTCTGGGACTGCTTTGAAAAACAGAGTATGTCAGAAGTGACTTTGTATCAGTTTCTGCACTCAGGTCTTCAGAAACTGCCAGGTTCAACTCATCCCTTGAGACACCCTCTCTGGGCCTCAAACTGCCATATAAGAAGTCTGACTACCCTGAGACTTTGGAGAGGCCCTGTGAAAGCCCTCAGTATGAAGTTTCAGCTATGTAGCCATCTGCACCAGGGGGACAAGAATGAAACCACCTGGAGCTTTCTACCTTAGACCATATTCATATTAGATGGATATTTTAGTCAACACTAACATTACAGTGGAAAAGTTACATGCTTAGTTCTGTCCAAACTCATAGCCCATGACATCTTGTACATGCTCTGACTGGGGATCAAACCTGCAACCTTGGCATATCAGGATGACACTGTGACCAACTGAACTGCCTAGCCAGGGCTAGCCTTTAAGCTTTGAATGAGTTTGTTTTTAGTCATAGATAACTAGAACAATTTTTAATGTGTACTTTTTAAGTAGAAAATGATAAGAAGCTATCTCTATCAAAATTATTAAATTTGAAATAGTTTAAGCTCAGTAGCCAGAGATTAGAATAATTACAAGAACATAGGAAATTTTATTAAGAAAAAACAAGGGTTATGTAAACATGTGCAACTCATTAATTAAATATTGTTGAATCAAGTAATTCGCTCTATATTCACATCTTTCAGGTCTTGACTCAAACATTGAGTCAAGAGACCTTCCTGAGCCTTCCATTTAATATTGTAAAATCTCTCTGTAGTCATACCTCCACTTTATATTTTCCTTTCTTGTTTCATTTTCTTCCAAACATTTATCACCAGTCAGTGTATTGTCTTTCTTTCTGATTTATTTTCTTTATTCTCTATCTTGTCCCTCAAGAAGGTGAATCCCATGTGAACACACATTCTTGTTGGTTCTATAGTCTGCTTATCAACCATACTCTGAATAATGGTTATCACTTTGTGGGGGCTCAATATGTACTTACTAAAGAATGAATCAATAGTCCAAAATATGTCTATCTGCAGAAGCTGACAGAGGAGCAAATTGTCACTTGTCAAGGAGCACCACAGAAACTGAGAATGGCCAGAAAACACACACAAATGTGCACACACACAAACACACAGAGAAGGGGCTCCTTTATACAAAGCCTAAAGGAAAGAGTGGGAAATTGGGAGTTTAACTACACAGAAATGAATAATGATCCATGTAGAAGTAAGTTTCCAAGCAATAAAGAGATACAAGCACAAAAATAGGTAACCATTTAAGAAACATAAAGCTAACCAAAACTGGTTGCATTCCTATCACCTGAGCTGGCAATGAAATTTCCGATGACCTGCAGGTCACCTCCTTGCTGCTATTCAAGAGGCTAATAAATTTTATATGAACAAGTCTTATGTTGCCTGAGGTCCCCTCTGATGGTACTCTTCAGCAGCCCTGCTTCACCAGGAAGACCAGTGGAAAGTGACAGCAGATTTGTCACTCTCTGGGTAATTGTGCATAATGAAACCTTCACTTAGAGTAATGTAGGCTATTTACATTGATCCTGCTTTTGAGAGTGTGTATTCCATAGGATTTTGATTCTGTGCATACCATTTATCTATCTTTTAAATGAACAACAAACATTTCCCTACTTGTTTCCAAACTATATCAAAGTCAACTTATGAATCTAGAAGCAGAAAACAGGGCAGATATAAATGTGTACAAATCAATAGATCTTCCTCTTTTTGTATTTCTTCTAACATTTTTCTTCCAATTCTATATCATATATTTTGTTACTTGCTCATATTTCTGTTTTCCTGTTCTTTATAAGCCCAGGAAATGAAATGATAATTCTAGTTAGCAGAGAAAAGAAATGTTCTAAGGCAGTACACTAATTTCCTGAGCTCTTTGAGAAATTTAAGCATTGTGACAAAGTACATGATATGATATTGTGTCACCTCTCTCTGGAGAACATTTACCTCAGCATCTAGAAAAAAAAATCAGATGCCAAGAGTGAATGGAACTCTCTGAAGAGCCAGCCCAGCTCTGGGGCTCTTGCTTCAATAGGAAGGGCTGAGTCTTCTTCTTCAGCCCAATGTTCCCTCATCACTTCTTTACAGGTGTACTCAAATGTTCCAAACACACCCCTCAGTAACTCTTCATAAAATTGTTTCAGATTCCATGTCTGGGAATCCATTATAAGCAAATAGATACTAATTTCACATTTAACTCCAAGAATTATATTGGAAAGAGAATTAATTATTCCTTTAGGCTATGCTTTAGCTTGGGTTTTATGTACTCTCTACTGTCTCTGGCCCTTCCAAAATATCTCCGACCCGTCACCTGGCCATGTCTAGAATTGTTCTAAACATCGGCTGCTGTAGTCTCAGTAACACTCTTCAGATGCTTATATCACTTTGACCACCCTATTCAGAAGGGCAGTGGAAAAGTTCAGGACTAAAGAGCAACTCAGGATTGAGACCAGAGGTTAACGAGCTATCCAAGCTATCTGGTACTTCAAAGGCAAAGGGATAGGTGATGACACTTTGCAAATGGAATCCAAGGGTGCAGGATAATGACTTGTAGCAATTCATCTGCCTGGTACCCATTTACACACTTCATTCTCTCTCCAGAGTCTACAGAAACTCTTGCCCTCTTTCAGTCTCCCTTCTTTTCTCACATTAAACTTCCTAAATCCATTTTAGGCTATGAAAAGATATTTTAAAATGTTTACTGAATAAAATCATATATTTTATAGATTTCATCTGAAAATTAGATGACTTGAGTAATTTGCAGGTAAATGATATCCCTAAACTAACTGAAGTAAGTTAATATTTATTTGAGTTTGAAGCTCTCTTGAACTTTTTTTGTGATTTGATAGACTGGATAGAAAAAATTAATATCCTTTTTTTAGGTATCGCTATTTTATTCTAGAAGAATCTCTAAAGTTATTTGGTCAAGAGAATCCTTTCTGAATTGAGTCTGGATGATGCAAAGAAAATAAGAATTAAGAAGAATAAAATTCAAACAATAAGCTCAAGACTAAAACAAGAAGGATAAAATACTGAATTAAATATTTTATAGCAGTTGAAGTATAAATGTTGCCTCATTAGAATTATCCAAATAATTAGTGTATTATATGTTTTTTTTATAAATTCTTAATTTTTATCTTAAACTAGGGGCAGGATGTACAACACATGGAGGAGACCTAAGAAATAATTATTCTCAAGGAATTTTAGGTCAATGCATCTTAATTCCATGTGGTCTCTGAATTGAGGAGAATGGGCAGACAAAAGAACACTGTGGGGTTTGAAACACAGAGAGATGGGTAACCATCTGGCTCAGCATAAAGAACAAACCTGAAAGAGCCGAGTCTCTCAGGAAAAGTCAGCTTTCATCCTGAATGTACATTCACAGATTGTTTAAATAATAATAATAATAACAATCAAGTGAAAATATTCTAACTAGTGAAAAAGAACTTACTGTCCAACACTGGATTGTTGAGACAAATACCTTGCTAACTTGGAAATGTAACAAACCCCGTCACACCTCATATTCACAGCTTATAATGTCTGACTATATTTAAACTGTGTGCTGGCTGTTAACCGTATTAACAATGTTTTGCCTCATCCACCTCGGCACTACAGTGTTTCATTATGTAAAAGCTATGAGTGTTGATATTTTATTGAGAATAAGCATTTGTATAACTTTGCCTTTGAAAATCTGTCAATGGTGTAGACGTGTTCAACTTTGTGCTTGTTCTCTCCTATGCTTTTGTGCTCTAAAGTAGGTGTCTGGCATATCCTAACGCTGGCTGTTTTTATTACTAAAATAAAAATTTATAAAAATATTTAAATATATTATTCTATCGTGGGATTGTGTCTGATCAAAATAACTGCTATGGTAACTCGAAGCATATTGTTGATTAGGTCAGAAGTCTATTCAATAAACAGTATGTTTCCCTTTAAAGAGGAATGCCAACACAGGTTACACAGACTAGAGTGAGCATATTTCTTAAGAACAACTCTCTTCTTCAATAATAATATTGAAATCCTTTTGTGACTTTTTGTGATTTTGACTGGAATATTGTATCATGAATAGTAAACTTCTTTACCCATTTATCAGGCACTTATATCTTTATTAATTACACTGCACATCTCTTTTTGATAGCTTATCTGTAGCTCTCCACATAGACTTTTTAAAACTAATTGACAGAGTGACAATGAAAATCTTTAAGTTTTCAACAACATTTAAATGTTTAAATATAGGTAGATGAGGTTAAAACTTAAAGGAATCTGAAGGCAAGGAAGAGTTTTGTTTTAAGAAATAAGAATGAAAGGTAGATGACGCTGAAACGAAGATGGACACAGCTTCCAAACAAACTGTCCACATTACAGAACTGTGTACAAGTTTTGGTATCTGCCCAACTCAGAAACTTTAATTTTGGTAACAGTTCTCTATTTTACCCTCAAAAAAGGGCCTCTAGAGCCAAGTTCATGCTATCTTCTTCTCTTTTGAACATAAAGAGTCATATAATGGGAAACTTGACTTTGAAGGTGCCATCTACAAACAGGACTGAGCCCGTCAGAAATTTCTCCTGTGGACTTAGAATTAAGAGATTTGGGCGCTGGTCAGCTGAGTAGCACACCAAGTTTGTAATGATCTAGGACTGAGAAAACCATTTTTAGCCTTGTTCTTAGAAATGCATAAAAAGTCATTTTTCAGGGAAAAAAAAACAGATGCAAGTTGTATTTGGAAGTGCAGTAAATTGGCTCTTATCCACAGAGAGATGAAGAATATGGCTTCTAGTTCTTCACTGCCAGTTCCTAATTACCATCTATTGTGAATGAAGATGAATGTTATGAATTATTCAGTGGATTCATTTGATAAACCCCCTATCCTTAAGCCCATAGGTTTCTCATATAAAATAATTTTTATTATCCAAATATCCCTAAGAAATATAGCATATTATACTTGATTATTATTAGCTTGTCACATGAAATCATGCTAATTATGCATATTCTGTCTTTCTAAACCAAATATAAACTTTATAGGTAAAACAATAAAGTAATATCTTAACCCCATTTTTAACTTAATTTTCAAGCATGATATCCTTCAAGGATTCAATAATAGATGATGATATATTTATTTAGTAGTTGTGAAAACTACTTTAGACTTTAGCATGTTTCCCTGTATACCAGTTTATCCTCTTAGTTCTTAATTTTACATTTCCACAGAGGCTAGGTTTTGTTAAAAATGACAGAAAATCACAAATGTAGGAATATACTAATCATCACACTGTATCTGCTTATGTTTCAATTTTGGGGCTTGGGTCTGTGAAATTCGGTACAGATATTGTACCTGTTGGTCTATGTGAAAGAGTTCATAGTTCAGTGAAATCACCTATTGTGAGAGAAGAAGGCATTAACATACATCAGTCCAAAAGAGGTCCTTTACAAAGAGAGACCCAGGATCCAGCTCAGTGGTTATACGAGACAGGTAAGTACCTCAGACATTCAAGTACTATTTATGTAACACATTAGTCCAAAACATGTATATTCAATAACAGTTAAGAATCATTCAGCCATCTTAAAAGCTTTTTCTTACTCTGCGGAAATCTTGGCTATGGTGTCACAAGAACTGTATTCCACCCCTGTGAAGATTTCTTTGCACTGTGCTGTCCGGACACCATTAAGCCAGTCACTGGTTGTGCGAAAGGTAGTGATGTCAACATTGCTTTGGTCCAGAAGAAGGTTTGATGGCCTGCAAGAAAGCAAAACACCAAAGGGAGAGAGACCAGGAGTCAGCAGAATTGCTGTATCTCAAAATCTGAAGCCTTTTTAAATCACTGAAACTTTGCCAGTGAAATGCATAAGTATGTCCATATACACTTTAATAAGTTAATTTGTTTGACCATTAGCAAAGATGCTCTTAATTTAGGGCACAATTATTACAAACACAACACACAGAATAATTTGCTGTCTACTTTAGTGTGAGATTTGGCTTTCTATAAGAAATCCATTGTACAGATTGCTGCCTAAAAAGGAGTTGGAAAAACCTAAATTGTACTTAGTGCAGAGCATAAAGTCAGCACAGATTTAAAAGTCACAAATGTCATTAAAGATAAAAATTACAAAAGGGTGGGAAAAAAGTGATGAGTAACCAATGAAATCCTTGCATATATGAAAACACCAAAATGAGTTCATTATATGTAATAGAATGATGAGAGGTCATTATATACAACTACATAGAGTTTATCATATATATACTTCTCTTTCTGTAGAGAGAGATGATTGAGATAGAGAGATAGATGATAGATAGTAAAAAGATAGAGACTTTTTTCATATGACTTATTTTACTAAGCATGATACGATTTTATTCATATGTGGGGTATTATCAGAAAGCAACAAATGAACAAACAAGACAATAAAACAAGCGAAGTAAATCCCACAGACACAGACATCAGTATGGTGGTTATCAGTGAGATAGGAAGTGCTGAGAGGTAAAAGAGGGTAAAGAGGGTCAAATATATGGTGAGGGAAGGGTAATTCACTTTGGGTTGTGAACACACAATGGAATATACAGATGATGTTTTATAGAACTGTACACTTGAAACTTAGGTCATTTTATCAACCAGTGTCACCCCAAGAAATTTAATAAAATTAAAAAGAAAGAGAGGGAGAAATTGGTTGATTGTCACTGTGATTTACATTGCACAATATAATCAACATTAAGAAGAACTTCTAGGATTTTGTTTTATATAATTACAGGCCCAACTCTAAGTTTATTATTAACTGTAATATAGTGAATCAAAGGGAAGTGAAAGGAATGAAAGAGATCATGTTTTCATCTATGAAGAGCACAAAAAAGCTGCCTGTTGGTGAGCTGTCCTTGGGTTCTGTTTTTTCAGCTCTCAGTGACCCCTTTCCTTCTTCTTAAACTCATGAGAGTGGACCCCGACCTTCAGGTAGACAATTGATTGTATTTGCTGTTAATTTCCTCTTAGAAAAACCCCTGGGATCAAATAGTCTGTAATGTTTATTTATACCTTTAGTTTACAGGATTCATACGTGAAAAATACTGTCATGTTTTCTTGTTCTAATAATCATGCTGTGGCTGTATTGCTGGCTCTTACCTCAGTAGCTTAGCTGTTAATGAAACATGGGGTTAGGTAGCTGGATCAGGGGTTTGAGTCATGTAGAAGAGCAGGATTTATATTAACTATATTTACTGAAGAAAGTTCTTAGAGAAATGTACAGAAAGCTAGCTGAAGATGGGATCTCTTGATGCATGGTGCATTAATTAATATGTCAGCAACTTTCTAGGATCCTTTTGTTGTAGGCCAAAGGTCTCCATGGACATTTTGAACAGGACCAATTTTCTTGCAAAGTGACATAATCTATTTTTTTATCTTACAATTGAGAGTGTGCATTTGGATTTTTTTACCTCATCATTATAATCATTCAGAATCTTTAATGTTTTGTGATAACTGCAGTTGAATTTAATCAGCATTAAGCTTTTGAAAAATTTAAAAATTATTATTTATATTTTTGAATATTAAGGTTTTTTAAGTTAGAACTTCACATTTTCATATATATTAAAATTAATAATTTGACTAAATAGAGTTTATCATTTGAAATGTTCAAATTCAATATTTAAAATTAATTTTCAGAAGACACCAAAACAAATGAAAAGTATATTGACATACACTAATCCTTATTTTAGAAACAAATTTAGCTCTTTAAGATACCAGTTCCAATATGTTCAGAAATATGAAATAACAGCAAATGATCCTTCCAGACACAATCAAACTGTGTATAGTGTTTTGTTTATGAATACGATACCCTGATTATCATCTAGGATATGTGATAAAAACTTATGTTCTCATGAGAAATTATTTCTATGAAGCAAATCCATATAAAAGCCAATTTTACCCACATTTGAAGGGACTTTTATTTTTAAAGATTTTATTTATTTATTTTTAGAGAGGGAAGGGAGGGAGATAGAGAGAGAGAGAGAAACATCAATGTGCTGTTGCTGGGGGTTATAGCCTGCAACTCAGGCATATACCCTGGCTGGGAATTGAACCAGCGACACTTTGGTTTGCAGCCTGCGCTCAATCCACTGAGCTACGCCAGCCAGGGCTGAAGGGACTTTTTAATTGGGCAATTTTTATTACTATGATGAAATTTCTTCAACTCACTCCCTGACACATGAGACATGCATAAGTGTGAGGTCAAGATTTTAAAATCTGAATAATTGTGTATTGCGCTCTAGACAGGCATACTCTGGTTGGGGACGTATGGAAGGAGGGTCAATTGATTGTTTGGATTTTGATAGAGATAAACTTATCTGAAAAATATGCCCGAATCTTAATGAAATTTTCATCCTGAGTTTAGGAAAAAAACGGCAATGTAAAAATATGGTTCTGCCTATATATTCATCCTCTGTCAAAAATATAGGTCGACACTTAGTTTCCTTTCCTCAATAATCGTTTCTGAAGTAGAGGAGAGCTGAAAGTGGAGGAGTTTTCAACTTGCTTTCCTTTGGACTAACTCTGCGTCAATCCTCTCTACCTCAGGCATTTTAATTATAAATTAAAACTTTAAATTATAGAGTTTATCATTTTTATGTGTTATAGTTTAATTTTAACTAACCCTCAGAGGTTATCTTTTTTAAAAAAAGCAGAAATGAAACATAGGCATTATTTTACAAAAGATTAATTTTCTTTTCTTTAGGAATATAAGAGTGACAAAATATAAAAATAGCACTTTATACATTATTCTCTATGGTACATATATAAAAATAATTTTCTATGATTATTTTAAGTTACTCATCAGATAAAAATATTTATTTTAATAAATGAAAATCTCTTGTTTTTGTTTTATCCTTAGACCTTTATTTTAAAAATTGAAAACCTTTTGTTTTTGTTTTTTTCTAAGACATTAAGGAACCCAGTCTCCACAACTTATGTGATATTTTGGGGTTGTTTTGTCATGGCCCTCTTGTTTGAAACAGCCTTTCTCACTATCCAGAATAGGTATAACATTGGATCTGTTGAAAAAGTAATTGAATCAGTAAAAAAAATGATAAAAATAACATTAAATCAGAGGTAAGAAAATTTTATAAGGAAAATGAAATAAGACCAAGAAAGAAGATAATAATATATTAAAATATCTACAGGGCATAGCCACACACACGCCACAGCTTGGATTTCTCACAGTAGCTGCGCATGCATTCTAATGTCAACTGTTGTCAACTCCTGGTTTCATGAATAGCAATACTTTTTTATTTATGGGTTTGTGGGTATAAAGAATCAAACCCTAGTACATTTATTCAGAATGTTTATGAAGCATGCCTAATAGCAAAATGCAGAATGTTTTCTTCTCAATTCAAAATGGTTTGTACTTTTAAATTTAACACTATAACCAGACTCAACAAGAGTTTAGAGAAAATTAGTATAAACAGGTTGAAATAGAACAGGACGTGCGGATTAGGGATTAGAGTGACCCCAACTGAGTTTTTCTGTTTATTACTTGGATCAAAGTACAACGAAGACAAAGAATGACCTAATTTTAATGCCAGTGACCTCAGAATAACCAGCCCTGCAAAGTATCATTTTTCCACTTCCAGGATTTCTCTGGGGAATTCAAATAAAATTGGTTCCTTTCCTCCTCTGAGAGGACATCTGGAGAGTTTATCAATGGATAGGAATTTGTCTCTCACTGTGAGGAGCCTGTGATGTCTCTTCATGCACACCAAGGGAATGTGGGCTTTGTGAGCAGCTGCAGGCATTGGCGTTTTTTTAGACCCAGCCCCAGACATTGGGTCTGAAGGGGAAATTTATAGACTGGGTGATGTGCACCGTGAGCTCACACTTTTACTAGACAAATTAGATAGGTTTCAATCCATGCAGCTGTAAACGATGTCCTGCAGAGTTCCACCTGATCTTTTACAGCTTTTCATAAATCAGTACCTACTGGCCACAGACCACAGTCATTAAAAAGAAATCATTGAAATTATGTTTGCTCAAGGGAAGCAAAAAATAACTTTCCTCCCTTTTTCTCTCTCTCCTTGTGGTATTTAGGTTTTTGACGTATTCTTATATGGATATTCATACTGTTACATTAAAGAGGTACAACTATATTTTCTTCCCATCAACTCTTATTTTATCTGTAAATGCTTTCATACCGATTAGCCCCAGACACTGGGAAACAAATGTCAGTAAGTAACTGCCGATCCCAAGAATATCTTTTCATAACAATTTTATTTCATACTGGATGAGAATTCTAAACCACTAGGATTGAATGTTCAGTTATCCTTTTGTAGCATATGAAGACTCCTTTGGTTTATAAAGGACTTTCTTTTTTATGTATTAAAAATAATGATTAATACAAATTTTTAATAATAAGTAAATGTCTACTGAGTCTAGAAATAGTTAATAATATTGGAGATATTTGCTATACCACTATATTTATTTACATTTTTCTGTAATAGTGCATAGTTTCAGAAATACATTAACTGTAAAGAGTAACACTTAAAGCAAATATTATTTCTACATTTACTATTGTATGAAAATAGTAATATAATTTTTTAGTACCTTTTATAATCAAGCTTTTTTATTATTTCAAACAATGATGCTGTGATTCAGGGGAAATCTTGTTTTTGCCAATTTTTAAAAAAGTGTGAATTGATGATTATTTGATCTTCTTATCTCTAACGTTAAAATTTCAGGTAGGATTAAGTGAATTTAATTTGTTATC